CGGCTGCGTTATTCGTCTTCAATGTTCTGAATCGAATTGTTATTTCGTGCACAACACCCATAGGTTTGCGCACGACAACGCCTGCGCCGACACCATGTTTGCTTACCGCGCCATCCACGTAAACCTCCCAAACTTCTTCTGGTGTTGTCTCAAGAGTGACTCCTTCCGTGATGAAATCTGCCAGGATCTGTGCTTTTATCGCCGGTCTCGGAGCATACCGGATGTCATACTCTGACAGCTCCACCGCCCATTTGACCATCCGCCCGGACACTTCCATTGAAGTTAGGATTTTTTTTAACGGGAGGTTGGTCAGGACGGTGATTTGATGCGCTTGGAAGTATGGGCGTAATTTCTGTGATGCACTCACCAGCGCCAAGGCGACTTTCTCTATTGGGGAGTATCTTGTTTCTGCGCTAACCAAAGTTCGCGATGTGTAGTACACTAGGCGCTCAGTCTGGCCGTCCCTCCTGGATATTAGTACTGCGCTCACGGCTCTCATTGACACAACAAGATACAAGAAGAGTCTTTCATTAAGTTTAGGGGTGGTTAATACAGGGAGGATACAAGATAAGCCTTGAGCTCCTGGAAAACCGCTTCACACTCCTTGGTCCATGAGAATCGCGCGCCATTTTTGAACGTTTTGAAGAATGGGGCGCACTTGTCAGCTGATCTTGGTATGAATCTTCCTACTGCCACTATTTTGCCATTTAGGGACTGGATCTCCAATGTGTTCCTCGGCGCCCGCAGTTGCTGGAATGCAGTGATTTGCTTTGGGTCAACCTCAATCCGAATACGCATTTCAGAGGGTTTAAGCGGAGGTTGTACTTGCGGAGTGCCTCAAATGTCTCGCGCAAGTCTTCTAGATGTGAATTGCCCGCCTTGGTCTTAACGATGAGATCATCCACGTATGCCCCAATATTCCGCCCTATCTATTGTGAGAACACCGCGTCGATCATTCTTTGGTATGTCGCGCCAGCGTTCTTCAACCCGAATGGCATCCCGACGAAACAGAAGTTTCCGAACGCTGTCATGAATGTTGTTTTTTCTTCATCTTCGCGGGACATCGGGATTTGGTGGTATCCTGAGAACATGTCCAGAAAAGACAGCGTCTCATGGTTGGCGGTGGCGTCGATCAATTGGTCAATGCGCAGCAATGGGTAAGGGTCTCCCGGGCACACCTGGTTGATCGTTGTATAGTCGACACACATCCACCAGGCCCCTGAGGATTTTTTCACCAAAACTACATTTGCCAACCATTTCGAGGATTTCACTGGGCGGATCCACCCCGCGGCTAATAGTCGCGCAACCTCTACTTCAATGGCTTTCAGTTTGTCTCCTGTGAAACTTCGTCGCGCTTGTTGCCTTGGTTCCGCGTTGACTGGAACCGCAAGGCAATGTTGGGCGACTTGCCTCGGAACTCCCGACATGTCTTCTGTGCACCAGGCGAACAACTCCTTGTACTCCTTCAGCAACGCTATCAATGGCTCAATCGCGTCACCGCGGACATGAGTCGAGATGCGTATCTTTCTCGTCGGCTCGGTTGGATCAAGCGCGACTTCAAAATCAGAGTCCATCGACTCTGGGCGAGGTTCTTCTGTCCTCGCGTCAACGATGTTGGTCTGGCAAGTCCCTCTTTCTAGCTTCGAGACCTCCCATGGTGTCCCGCGCGCTTCACCGGCCCCTGCCTTGGTTGGAAATTTCAGCTTCTGGTGGCACGTCGACGGGAGAGCCATGAATTTGGCTAGGAACGGTCGGCCAAATATGCCGTTGTGAGGCGAGTTGCAGTCGACTATTGTGAATTCGACTTGCTTCGAGACGCGTGGCTCTTGGTCTCCGATTACAACTGGGAGGGTGACTACGCCAATGACTATGACCCTTCTTCCGGAGAAGCCGACCAAGTTCCCCTGGGCGCACTTGATTAGGCGCGGATCGATGTCCATTTGATCGACAGTGCTCTTGAAAAGGATGTCTGCCGCGCTGCCCCGATCTATCAGCAGGCGGTGGATTTTGCAGGAAGCTACCAGCGCGGTAATGGTAAGCGGGTCTTCTGATGGGACCCCCTGGGGGAACTCGACGTCGTCAAAGCTCAGGTTGCACTTCGTAGGTACCTCGGCCGCCGCGCATTCTATTGCGCGTTCGCGCTTGGTTTTTTTCTTCGGGCGGTCTCCTTCTACTGTTACCACCCTGATTTCCTTGCGTACCTCATACGAGCCTATAGCGTCATTGTAGTCCGCTTGCGAGGGCGGTGGGGGGTTTATTGGCTGTGTTATCTGTTCCTCCACTCCGCGGATGAACTCAGTCAGTAATCCTCTTCGTATGAGGCCTTCGATCTCGTAGCGCAACTCCCTGCAATCCTCTGTCCAGTGGCCCGTTTCTCTGTGGAAGAATTCGCAACGCTTTTTTGGGTCGCTCATATGTGGCATGGACTTCAAGGGCGCGGGCCATATGATTTTGTAACCCTTCTCGGCAAGAACGTGGAACACATTTTTGACTGAATCATTGAGCGGCGTGTAGGCGTTTGACGGGCGCCTATCCGGTGACCGCCCTCGTTGAACCGGTTCTGCCGGGGGGGTGGGCGTCTAGGCCCGCTGTGTAATTTTATTAACTGTTCCCGCGGCACTGGTAACTGTTTCCGCCCTTGATCTTCTTTGAGCGATTTCGCGGGTTCAAAGCGCCTGACAGAACCCGCGCCGAGTGTTTCTTCTAGCGTGATGGCCTTCTCGATTTTGATCTCTAGCTCTATTGACAGCGTGCCCGCTGTGTAATTTTATTAACTGTTCCCGCGGCACTGGTAACTGTTTCCGCCCTTGATCTTCTTTGAGCGATTTCGCGGGTTCAAAGCGCCTGACAGAACCCGCGCCGAGTGTTTCTTCTAGCGTGATGGCCTTCTCGATTTTGATCTCTAGCTCTATTGACAGCGTGATTGGTCTTTTTGCTAGCGCGCGCTTGAGCTCCATGTTGGTGGTGGCATCCATGAGATGATGGGCGGCGGTTTTTGGGGTGAAGAGGCCTTGAGGTGAAGAGGCCTTCCTTTTTGGGACGCGAACTTCGTTGTGAACAAGAGTATGAACTCTTCGAACGAGCGGATGATTCCGTTTGGGAGTCGGTTATACCAATCGAGGCATATTCCGGAGAATGTTGATGGGAAGGTCTGCATAGCGTCGCGTTGGAGTTTGTTTGGAGTTGCATCCGCAGGCAGAAGGTGCTGACGTGATCTTCTGGATCAGTCGTCCCATTATAAGTTGGGAGGGTGGGCGGCATTCCGCTTAGGTGCTCCGTCATAATCTCCGCGCTCAACGGTTGGTGTAGGGTTCTCCTGGGTGGGTTGGGGCGGTATTATGGGGATAAATGCTGCTCCAAGAAGCTGAGGTCCGCCCTTCCTGGTGGTTCGATTCGTTGCGCTTCAGTTGCGGGCAACACAGCCGGCACTTGTTGTGGTAGCGAGGCAGTGCCTGACGCCTCTCCCTGCGTTTGTTGTGGCGCGACAAGCGCCACATCCGCCGTTGTCGCGGCTTCCTTGCTCATCATGAGAGCTATGACTTGGCTCATTTGTTTTTGCATTTCGGCTATGACATCGTTTTGCTTCGCCATTAGCTGCCTCATTTCCTTGGCTGTCAGTTCAGGCTCTTCTTCTTCAATGAGCACCGCGTTAAGGTTACTGGCTTCTGCGAATGCCCTTGGGGTCGTCATCGCCTTGATGGGTGTTACCTCGTCGGGCAAGTTGGAGTTGTGTTCTGCCATTGGTTGGATTTCTGCTGCTTTTCTACTCGGCCCCACGGTGGGCGCCAATTGTTTGAACCTAACTAAGTGTAGGAGTGAGATTCACGAGAATGGGTCGAGGAGAATAAGCAACGAGAATCAACCTTGAATTTAAGAACAAAGGGAAGGAAGAATGAAGTTGAGAGAGTTCTTTTAGAGAGAGAAGTTTGTTCTTTTCTTAGAGATAGAGTCCAAAAAATCCGATCCCCTCACCCACAAGAGTAAATGTCATATTTATAGGCTACATGGTGGTGGGTGAGTTACATGGTGACATGACTATTGACATGTCAAAGGTCTAGACCATACCTCTACCTAGGACAAGTACATTTTGTCTTTTATTATACCTAGGACTATGATCGTGACCACTCATCGGCGGGGGGGGGGGGGGGGGGGGGGGGGGGGGGGGGGGGGTCGTTTTCCATAGTTTTGCTGATTTGGACTCGAACGTCGTCGTTCGGTGTTCGGGCTGTGGCTTTGGTCGCGTCGGTGCTAATGCGCCCGACTCTCTTGGTAGTGGCGCTGATGCGCCTTTTTTGTTGCGTCGGTGCTAACGCGCCCAACTCCTCTGGTGGCGGTGCGTCGGTGTTTCCTTGGCACGGCGAGATCCGAGTCATATACCTAACAGTTTCATGCTGGCAGTCACTTCTTTTTTTGGCATTATAACAAGGTATGAAAAGTAATTTGTTTATAACATTCACTATTTATTTAGATAATTATTAATTTATTTGATGTTAATTTTGCAGAGTTGAAAGAGATTTGCTTGGATGATTGTACTATCATGAGTGATTTAGTTGATGATGATTGAAGAATGATGTATTATGTAATCATGATATGATGTAATTGATGATTATCTAACAATGATGTATTGTGTGATTATGAGGATGATGTACTTTATTGTTATTGAACAATGATGTACTTGAAGTTGAAGAATGATGTATTTGGGTGATTGATTAATTTTCTAGAATTAATTTGATAAATGAATAATTTTCTGGAATTAAATTCGTAAATAAATTATATTTTTAAATTAATTTCGTAATTGATTAATTTTCTGGAATTATTTGGGTGATTGATTAGTTTTCTGGAATTAATTAGATAAATAAATAATTTTCTGGAATTAAATTCGTAAATAAATTATTTTTTGAAATTAATTTCTTAATTGATTAATTTTTTGGAATTCTGTTTGTGATTGGTTAATTTTATGGAAAAATTTCGTAAATAAATCATTTTCTGAAATAAATTAATTAATTTTCTGTAATTTATAGTTTGGTAATTAATTTTGTGGTTGGAGAGGGCTCGGCTAGTCACGACCCTAAAGGGTCAAACAATGGCAAAAAGAGAACAGAGACCGACGAGTCGGTTATGCAAGTTGAGCCTTCAGGACGGGACATACAGGGTATGGGACGGGACTAGCAAATTTCCAGTCCAGTCCTTGTCCAGTTACAATAGTCACAGTGGAGCCCAGCCGTCATTCCTCAACTTTGACAAACAGCATTGGCGAAATAACGCTCGTGCCGTTAACATCTATGTCGAGTTTTCCTAACCCTGACAAACTGAACTCAGTTCCTGAAACATCCGTCCAGGACCAAAAACAATAGAACTAAAAGTTGAAAGGAGATTGGGGAGACGGGACAGTCCTGTTTCAGATATTTTACAGGTCGACATGGGGGCAGATGGAAAGGAATTATCAGCTAACTGCTTCCAACGAATGCAATGAATGGGAAGAACTGAACAAGAACAAACAATCGTGTGTGGAATTCCGACGGAAGTGCAGCACAGAAAACTCAGCTACATTCCTTCTTCTCGTGCGTGCAGTGAGTACATCATACCCTTATCCATTGCCTTTTGAGGAAGTAAACTGCATTTCGATCGGCTATGTACCTGTCCTTACAATGTGATCTCCGTCATTCACTTAGGCGGCAGTTGCGCAGATAGGGATGATCGTACTTAATGTACTTGGTCCAATATGGCCTGTACTTTGTCATGGCCAACTCCAGCCATGGCTTCATATTGCCATTATAGTGAATCACGGCAGCACGATCGATCTCCGCTTTATCAACGCTAGGATTATAACCGAGACCAAGGACATGCCATGACTTCTCAAGTGGGTGCGTCAATCCATAGAATGTTATCAACCCTGGTGGCAGCGTCCCAAGCTTCCAAAGTACCCTATCCTCATTCTGTTACAACACCAAGGCGGCAGTATTATTATCAATGAAATAGATAAAAGCAAGCAGAAATTTGCAATAATAATAAAACAGAACATCGAACAATATTATCATTAATTATAAGAGTCAACAACAGCCATGAATTTCTTCAAATCGTTACCTAGACTCACCATGTTTTGCCACTTGTGATATATGCCAGTGATATCCTTCCTCTTCCACACTTCAAGATCAAACATGTTCATACCGTATGCCCATCCACAAGCATTGGGATCAAAGTTTCTGGCAATGTGAGGATTTGAAAAGTTGAGGTACTTGTCAAACCGGTGAAAGCTTTCGCCGCATGTTTCAACCGCACCATTCACTTTTCCATCCAGATCCACAGCCCATAGGCCGGTCAGATCTTTTTGGACAACAATGTCATCATCAAGAAATAGTATCTTGTTCAGCTTGGGATAAACCTCTGGCAGATAAAACCTTAGGTGATTGAGCATTGAGAGATACTTGGGATTCCGATACTTCAGATTCGAAGCACTTGAAGAGAGAGATGTGGGGTGGTTTGCCTTGAAGTAATACTCCTTCATTGCAGCAGACTCCAACTGACGGAGAACCGGGCAGTAGGATGAGTTAAGCCACTTGAATTCATCTACATTCTCAACGTGGATAGTGGCCTTTCCAGGGGGGTTCAATAAAAACCACATATTCATTGCTCCAAAATTTAGTTTATCTGTAACCAGGTGGAATACATGTTTTGAAGGGTCCTGAAATAATATAGGAACAACCAAGCGGTTAGCATGTAGGTAGCAAGTTTTTTAAAATTAAGGAAAATACAGCAACCCAAGAAAAAAGTAAGCATCACCTTTGCATTCACGATAGTTGAGTTGACAACAACTGAAGCTGCCAAGACATTATCGGAGAAGAGGGCATAGTGGTATAAACTTGGATTTTCCAGATTCTCGTTGCGTGGGAACTTTCTCTTCTCTAGAGGAAGGAGATAGTAGTCTATTGTTAGGCGCATAGACAAGCAATGAATTCCATTAGGAACTGTCTTCGCAGCCAATTGACTCAAGAATGTGCTTTGCTTTTTCAAGCTCCTGACTTGCTCGTCGGCTGTCTGGAGCATTGCTCTGAGCTTCCCAGTGACCATTTTACAGTCATATAGCTGTTCCCTTGATTTGGACAAAACTTGCCCCATGGCTTTAATTTTCTCCGGAGCACTACAAGAAATAGTATGGCATTAGTCCCACCAATAAATTAGCCATCCATCTTATCAAAAGTGAGGCAACTGGCATAATGGAAAAGAAGAGATGCTGGATTAAACCCAACCACAGCCACATTCCTCACTGTGGCAATACCTTTGATTTAGTTCAGAGTCAGCTGTTGCGTCTCCTACGACCCGGCGACTCTCTTTAAGCCGAGCTTGTAGCTGTTGCTGCAAATCAGTCTTGTTTTTCATCTTTGCGATACTTAAGTATACCCTTGCCATTATCATCTGATCTCGTATTAAGCGTACAGTAGAATCAACATTCTCAGTCTCGATCTCTTTTCTCCAAATGTTGTATTTTCCAAGAACAGCAGAGTCAACTGATTTAGAGCGTTCAATAGCAGCATTTTCAAATTTTATAGTTGTTTCATCTCCTTGGCGCATCAACTCCGCTGCACGTTTGTAACGTCTTTTTTCTCTTAGTTGCTGCATGATTAACAAAATTCAAATCTGAGGAAGCTAATACGCAATATCAGATTGGCTCATTTTCTTGCAACCCGTAGAAACAACATGAACAGTAGAAAATAACTGATACATAAAATCTATGGAAAGAACTATAAATACCCTTCGAGCAAATTTTTCAGGTGATTCAATAAATGGAGCCTGATCATCTGGACAAGGAAAATAAATCAGAACCAGTCAGCCACGAAACTTGGAACAAACAGCAAATATTAGCTCACAGTTTCTACAAGCATCACCAGACAACTTCGTGCCTTTTCTGGTCGGAACTTCTTGCTTGACAATGCTAGCTGGCTGCTTTGACTTTAACTGAAAAAATGCCAACCCGACAGAGGAGGGATCAGTGGCATAATCAGTGGCATAATCTGATGCAATGAAATCAAATACAGACAAACATAGTGATACTAACCTCATAAGAGGATAAATGGTCAGCTGAAACCTCAGCTCCAACAAGTTTCCATGAAGCAGACAGATTGCTTCTTCTAAAAGCATCGAGACTAAAAGGCCCCAAATCAGCGGTATTAGCTGTGATCACATCAATGACCTAAATGTCCAATTGCACCATCTTAGGAACGACCACAAAAGACTAAACCTATGCATTATCATTATGGTATTATCAATTGTACAGTTGAAATTACACATTTTTCCCCAGACAAGTAGATTAACTACAGTTTACACTTACATCCTTAGTGAAAAGCGATCTAACATGTTGCAGTGCCAACCGTTCTCTCCAATCCAAATCCTGGACCAATCAACAAACTTCTATTTATGGGATAAACAGAATGAAGCTACCGAACAAGCACAAAACTGCAAAAGTACAGGTTTTATACAAATGACAGATGCTTAGAAGCATTACCTGGTTACTGGAGCCATTCGGAAGACTGGCTTCGCCTGCACAGGTAACACTAGTCACTCTAAATTTCAACACTAACTCACAGAGAGACAATATATACTTTCTAGAGATCAGGAGATGCATTTACGATAGCAGCTCATCGGAATAAAATTGTATACATTCATCTAAAATCAGTGTGCCCTAGAACAATGCACAATAACGACGATGAGGACAATGAGCAACAAAAACTGAAAAGGCAACTAGAGACAAGACCAGGACAATATCATGTACTCTGGATGCACTCATGCAACTGTTATCTGACAATGATTGTTTTTTAGAAAGAAAAGCATGCAAGTTAAGTTTCAAACCAAACCATCCTAATTCCCAAGATATGCACCCTGAAAAACTAAAAGCTCGTAAGACCATTCAATCCTTTAACCACTTGAATAAGGTACAATGTCCCATCAGGTAGCTAATGAACTAGGCAAAAGCTACTCAACCCTCGCCTTCACCATTCAATGTCTAGGTCTGATGTAAGGCTTCGTACAATCAACCTTGCATTATATGACGCACGAAGCTGATATATCAAGTCCATCAACACTTAAAAGATTCCAACCAAAATAAGCATTCAGCTACGATATGGCAGATAACTCAACGCAGCCAGAAAATTGACAGAGTTGAGGTTAGCAGGAATGCGATGGCCATAGTGGAATAAACAAAAGTGAGATATCTTATCGAGAAAATTGGTTCTAAAATTTCCGCCTCAAACTAAAGCGAGGTCAGTCGGCGAAAACAAAAGCCGATCAAATTCAACAAAAAATGGCAAAAAGAAGCAATGAGATCAAGGGAGAAACCAAACCAATAGGAGCGCCTGTGCGGAGCCACGGACCATTGGAGAACATTAGCGCCACCAAGAACAAGAAGAATAATAAAGCAACCGTAATCGGCAATCGAGATCCACCACCGGGGCCCCGGTTGTTCCGACTGGCGGACAATCTCCTCTTAAGCGCCATTGCTTACTGAAACCTAGAATTGAGACCGACTCGAAACGCAGCAAAAGAAAATGCCGGAAGCAGAGAAGCCGAGAGGGAGGAGGAAGGGTACCGAGGCCCGTCAATCGTGAGGAGAGATCTAGCGAAAATGGGGAGTGGGAAGTTGGATCGACTTAATTTTGAAGAGAGTCCATTAGGGAGGGAGGGAGCACCCCAGAAGCTGAAGTAACGACGGAGGCTGCTGCAACGGCGGAAGAGCAAATTGTGCTCGAGTGGATGGGCTGTGGAGCTTCTTTGGACTTGACAATATTGCTCCCACCAGCTGCAATGGTAGTCGAACAGCGATCACAATCGTAAGAAAGAAGGAACGGTAAGGAAACGAGAAGGGGCGCTCTTTTACTTCCTCTCCTACTAGTCTACTACACAGTTCTACACTTGGTAATTGGTATGCTCTCCCTCCTTCTCCAGACGATCTTGCTCTCTCCAGCAGAAACCGATAAACTGTTGCTTAGCTCGCCTCTAGTCCGTGCTGGGGGGTGGGGGAAATCATTTGGGATTTCAATCACTCGCCTCAACTGTTGTTGTTTTTTTTTTTTTCCCTCAATGGGGGAGTGAGAGTTTTTTTGACATCGAGAACCTTTTCCCAATGAATATGCCTATTTTTGTATGATTTTTAGAAGTGTTTGTCGGTTTCAAAAGTTGAAGTATGGCCAAACACATCTAAAAGCTTAGTTTTTGAAAAGCCGAAAAGTGCTTTTAAATAACATAAAAGCAAAAATTCCGATTTGGAGCTTCTGCGAAAAACTGTTTTGAAAATACAATATTATACTTATTATATTTTAATTTTATTTCAGAAAATATAATTTTCCTTCATTTATATCATTTTAAAAATAAAATAAAATAAATCATAATATTATATTATTTAATATAAAAGAAATCTAACAAGATCCATTTTGACTACTTTTTATTGTTTAGAATTTATATTCATATTTTATATTATAAGTCCTTTATAGTCATTTTACACAACCTCTCATATTAAAAAGAACTTCTAATACTTTTACAGCCAAATATTCAACTGCTTTTTTGAAAAGTATTTATCTATAAATTACAGCAGGGCCAAACTAAACTAATTAATCCGATTTGGATCTCGACCCTCACGATTTTCGACTTGGGTGCAATTCAAGGTGACTTCCCATAAGGTCACCCATCCTTGTTGTACTTCATACTGAGCACATTTAACTTCGGAGTTCTCACAGGAACTTTTTCTTTTTCACTCAAAAACGCGTCTTGTCAGTTAAGGTTGGTTTCTTACTTATGAACCATGGATCTTTCCCGTGCTTTGTCGATGTGCGATTTGTCTAAGGTGTTACATACACCCCCCCCCCCTCCCCCTTGGGACTCAACGTCCTCATTGAGGTTTACCCTACCATCATTCAAGAGGGACGCAGAGAGGCTTTGATACCAATTGTAACATCCTGGACATTTTCCGAACGAAGATATTGTCCGCTTTACGCCTCGACCCTCACGATTTTCGACTTGGGGTGCAATTCAAGGTGACTTCTCATAAGGTCACTCATCCTTGTTGTACTCCACGCTGAGCACATTTAACTTCAGAATTATCACAAGAACTCATCCATTTCATCCCAAAAACACGGCTTGTCAATTAAGGCCAGTTTTCTTACTTATGAACCATGGAAACAATGTCTTAGGTGTTTCAATAGCTTGAGTGCCAAGAAACCCTTTCTATAGCATACACTAAGACTTTTGTGGCAACTCTGAACTTTTATTTTCCCCATTTTATTACATTTTCGCTTCTTTTTCTTTCTACTTTCCTTTTCTTTATTTTCTCTTTTCTTTTTTTGAGGGGTGGGGGGTACTAGAGAGTAAAACACATGCCACTTAACATTCAACTAACAATGCTCTCTATTAAGAACTTTCCTCCAACACTACCTTTTTAGCAAGAACCGTGCAAAATCCTCCTATGCAGAACCTCAATGGAGTTCAAAAGCGCGAACTCTGAGACGCAAGGATGACTCACACATTGACACGAAGAAAGGATGAGGGTCTTCCTATCAATCGCCATTAAGCTCAACAAGCGCGAAGCTCCTAACACTAGAATGACCCAATGTCACACGACTCAAAGGGGTTGACTAAGGGATAAAATGTTTCGGGACAATCCACTTTTGGTCGTGGACTAATCCTATGCCTCCATCATACTCACTATTGAAAACAATGAATGTTACACACCATGGCAAGAGGGATCTATCACACATGAACAAGACGATAGGCACAAATCTCACATGGCTACCTAGCCACCCAATCATCTATTCCAATTTCACGAACTTCTCTGCAAGGCAATTGAGAACTAAACTTTTTCACAAACCTAATGCAACTCTCAGTCATCATAATAGGATGCACTCGATCACATGTAACAATTCAAGATCACATGCAACTCTCAGTCATCATAATAGGAGCCCTCAAATTTTTCAAATTTAGGCATACTTCAAGGCTCCAAGCATTCAATCACACACACAAAGCCTTATAATAAACTATCCCCCACACTTAAGATCGACATTGCCCTCAATGGCGTAAAATAGGGGATAGAACGATGTTACCGCATGGCTTAATGATTGAAAGTTGGACGATTCCCCGGGGTAGGAGATTTGAGCTTCTAATAGAAGACAACACAACACAAAACACACGCACATTCTCGCTCGAGGTGAGGTTATTATGCATAACAAAGTTTCACAATACGATAACAAGGACTAACCTTCATTGGGTTTCCTCCCAACTAGCGCTAGTTTTACATCTTAAGCTCGACAGAGACCTCGGACTAAACATCATGTAGGAACACCACCTCCTTTTGGGGCATCACTGCTCCTCCAAGGTAGCGTTTGAGGCGGTTTCCGTTCACTTTGAAAATTCCTTGCTCCGGGTGGGAGATCTCGGCCACCCGTATGTAAGCACTTGGTTGACCACATACGAGCCCGACCGTTTCAATCTCAACTTACCGGGGTATAGACGTAACCAAGAGTTTTACAAAAGCACCTGATCTCCTGGTTGAGAGTCTTTCCCCTCTTTGAGTCTAGCATCATGCAGACACTTCGTCTTCTCCTTGTAGATCTTGGTGTTCTCGCAGGTCTGAAGACGCCACTCCTCGAGTTCAAGCACCTGCAACTTCCTTTCATTTGCACACAAAGTAGGGTCCATATTCAGCAATTTGGTGGCCCAGAACCTTCTCCAAATTAGCCAAACAGTGATCAAACGCATCCTTGAATACCAAAAAGTCATCCATGAACACCTCCATTACTTCCCCCACAAGCTTGTCGAAGATAGCCCACATGCATCTCTGAATTATGGTCGGGGCATTACAAAATCCAAATTGGATGCGTCTATAAGCAAATGTCCCGAACAAAAAAGTGAATGTCGTCTTCGCTTGATCTTCCGAGGCAATTAGTATATGAAAATATCTGGACATCCCATCCAGAAAATAGTAGTAGTTGTGACCCGCGAGCCTCTCCAGAATTTTGTCTATGAAAGGTAGAGGGAAATGATCTTTATGAGTGGCATCGTTTAATCGGCGATAGTCAATGCTAGGGGTGGAAAACGATCCGGTCCGGTCAAAACCGGACCGGATTGACCCGGTTTTTTAAGACCGTTTTGACAAACACCATAACTGGAGACGGGATTGGATGGCATCCGGTTTCAACCGTGACCGGACTGGGTTCAATCCGGTTTTAAACCGGAAACCAGATTGGCATTCATCCCTTCCAAAACGTTGAGGTTTGAAAAAATTAATAAAAAAAATGAAAAACAATGAAATTGAGAAGAGGGGTCGTCTCTGCCTCTTCCACTTCTGAACCGTCCCTATTTTCTCAATCTCAATCTCTTCTCTCTTTTTCTTTCCTGATCTTTCTTCCACCTACTTCTTCTCCTCTCTGTTCTTCTTTCTCTTTCTTGTTTCTTCCATCTGCCTCTTCTTCTCTTTGATGAGGCAAGCAAGTTGCCCACTTGGTATGTCGATCTGTCTTCGGCCTCCATCGTGAGCATCGCCATCTCCGTCGCCCAGATCTGCCATGGCATGCAGAGAGGAGAAGATGACGATTTACAGATCAGAGAGGGAATTGGGGCTGGAAAGGCGACGAGTCGTGGTCGGCGCCTCCTCTTCCTCCATGCACGAGCTGATGGCGGAGGAGATTGCGGCGGCGGCCCTGGCTGAGGATGGGGCGAAATGGAGAGGAGTGATGGAGGGTGTTTCAGGAGGATGGACGGGATGGTGGAGGAGAAGGATTGGATGGTGAGGTCGACGGCGGTGGTGGTCGTGGTCGGGAAGGAGGAGGTGGTGGGCAATTGCGTCGACTCCAGTCTCCAGGGTGGGTTTTCGGCAAGGGAGATTAGAGGGGAGGAGTGAGCGACTGGTATGGAAACGTGGGTCAGAGCAAGAGGGAGTAGGATTAGGTTTAGGGTTGGGCTCTGGGTCGGGCTGGTTTTGTCGAGTGTGGGCCTGGGGATTGGATTGTGGGCTGGGCTTGCTCGAAGATTTTAATCCAGTTTTCCGGTTTTAACCAGATTGGACCGGGTGGCTAATAGGCTGACCGGAGACTGGACCAGATTGGATGCTAACCGGTTTCCGGTTACAACCGAGACGGTTTTAACTGCCCAGTTTTCGGTTTGATCGGAAAACCGGGACCGGATTCCCACCCCTAGTCAATGCATACTCTCCAACCAGTCACCTTTCTTGAGGGTATAGACTCCTCCTTCTCATTAACCACGGCCGTCATCCCTCCTTTCTTGGGAACCAACTAATTCGGGCTTACCCACTGACTTTTACAAATGGGGTAGATGACACATCGTCCAAGAGCGTAATCACCTCGGCCTTCACCACATCCTCCCAGTTAGGATTCACAGGTCGTTGAGGTTGGCGGACCGGCTTGGCGCCCTCCTCCATCACGATCTTGTGCGAAAAAAGGAGGGCCAGATCCCTCGAATGTCGGTGATTTTCCATGCAATGGTCCTCTCATGACGACGCAGGACCTCAATCAATTGGGTCTTCTGGTCGGATGTGAGATTGGAGTTGATGATGAATGGGAGCTTAACGGCATCTCTCAGGAAGGCATACTCGAGGTGGGAAGCAATGGTTTCAACTCCAACTCGGGTAGCTCTTCCAAAGAAGTAGGAATTTGGGCATGGGGGCAAGGCTTCCACTTCCACTTTGTGGGTCTTAATGCAAGCTTCCTCAACTTGTGCCGGCTGTCCCTCCTAAGTTAATAGTACCTACTAAAAAACACTCCTCAAAGGGCTCAGTAGGGGTGGCACCCGCAGATGCAGGTGCTGCAATGAAATCAGATACATCATCACAGTATTCAATATCATCCTGAAGGTAGGAAAAATTCATGCTATCATTTATTGAGAAGGTAACCTCTTCTTCCCTTGCCCGGAGTACCAACTTTCTCCCATGCACATCAATCAATGCTTTGGAGGTGGCCAAAAAGGGTATACCTAGAATAACGGGGACATCCACATTATCGTCGATGTCGAGAATGACAAAGTCGACCGGGTAAATGAGGGTACCAACCTTAATGAGTAGATCCTCAACCACATGTAACACCCCGATACTTTAGATTTAGGTTCGACATTAATACGTGAACGGTTGGATTGACGGTTAAGTACTAAGAGTTACAACCGCAGATATAATAATAATAATAATAATAATAATAATAATAACTATTATTATTATAACTATATATATATATATAAAAAAAGAGGGGCCGAGCGGCCCAAACCCTTCCCCCTTAAACCCTACGTCTCCCCAGCAATTTCCCCACAAAAACCCCATTCTTTTCCCCTGCCGCAAACTAAGAAAACCCCAAATTTGCACCGTCCACCACTACTCCTTTACCTCACCAAACATGTGTTGTCGATCTACCAATCACCCACTAGCGGTGGAAAGCCTTTCCATGTTTTAGGAAATCACGAAGAGAGGGGGGGGGATGGAATCAAGAGGTGCTTGCATTCGTGACATCAGCAAGCTTCCCTGCAACAATTCCCCAACGAGAGATGAAGTGATGACCAGATGGGAGGAGGGAATTAAATGAACCAAGTCCATTATCCTCTAGTGAAAGGGAAATGGAATGGAAAGGTTTCGATTGTGGGTTCTAGTGGTGGCATCAGCGGAGACGTGATGCATAGGGGTTGATTTCCCGGTAATTGAGAGAGAGCCAATTGTCGGGTAATAATTGGTAGTATGGACCCGAGTTAGTTTGAGTGATGACGCCATCCAACGAGCCACCATAATTGTTTCCCGAGTGAATTTGGCGAATGAGGGGTTTCTTCGAGGAAGGAATTGAGGAGTCATCTTTTCAAGGTGAGTGTAAAGGGGGTAAAATCTCTGTCGTAGGTCTTTTAGTTTCCGCTTTTCGTTCAAGTTATTATTTAGTTAATGTTCTAGTATGTGCGATATGTGTATGAGGCATCCCACCGCCTGTAAGGGTGAAGGCACGCGTTGTGCTATGTATGAATGTATGTGATGTTGTATGGATTGATGGTAAGATGAACCCCCGGGCGGTTGGGTCACTACTGGACGGCGAGACGTAACGCAGTAGTTGACGGGCATGGACTGGACGGCGAGACGTAACGCAGTGTCATTGCCGAGTTTGGGTATGCAACCGGACGACGAGACGTAACGCGGTTGGCATACTAGGGTAGGACACCGGACGGCGAGACGTAACGCGGTGGTCCTAGTGTTTTGTGTTTGAGTTAAGGATAGAAGTTGAGAACTTCTATGAGTTAAGGTTGAAGTAAGTTATTAAGAATATAAGTAAGGAAACTCTAAAGATAAGATAGGAGTAGATATCTCTTATAGACTGTTTATAACAGAGTATAAAGGATGAAAGAGAGAACGGCTTTTGTCTAGTTCATGAACCCTAATAACGTGTTTAGTAGGGAGTTCGCCTAGGCAAAGACCTTAGGAAGTAACGACGAGGCTAACCCCTTCTCACTCACCAGGTTGAGGATAGTCTAGCAGAAGTGGATCACGAGAAGAAGCAGGGCGAGGCGAGCAGCAGTACCAGCGTTGACGGGATATCAGAAAGCTCGTGAGAAGTCAAGTTAGATTAGTTAATTATTATGTTTCATGGTTATTAGTATAAACTGGAGATTCTGTGTTAAGTCGTTTTAAGTGTTTGAGATTGAGAAATTTGCCCAAGTGTTGGGGCTTTTCGTTAAAAATTCTTAAATGATGTCGGTTTGTTTATTTTGGAAAGAGACGGGACGTGTCACCACACCCTTATGATGCATGATGGATCTATCATCCAACTGGATATTCATCCTAGTAGCTCTAGGTTCACATAAGTCTAACTTCTTAAACATCCTATACGACATCACATTAATACTAGCCCCCTGAAAATGATGTATTTGCACGTGTTTGCACCCTGATTTCTTATCCGTTTGCGACTCCTAGTCATGCATCTTTGGCCTATTTTATTCTGGGTTGTGCTATTTTATCACATTTCAGGTCCCAAGCGTCGAAGGAGAGGCTAGGCGCGAGTTTCGGGTCGTTTGGAGGTCGTTCGGTGAGGCTGGAGCAAAAACACTGGCAGCCCTGTCCAAAACACGGCCGTGTTCCTCTGGCCATGTTTTTACTGCCTAGGGCATGCTCATGATGGCTGCTGAGGGTCCAAAACACGGGTGCCATTGGAGCAAAACAAGGTCATGTCACTTATTGGGCATGATCGTGTTTTGGGAGCGATGCGGGCTTGTTTGCCACAAGGGAAGCAAAACACGGGCAGGATGAGGCAAAACACGGCCGTGTCCTCGACCGTGTTTTGCCCAATCTCGGATTAAAAGAAGATTTCAGCCAAAGAGAAAAGGGAATATGATTTTGAGAGCTAGAGAGCAGAAAACCTAGAGAGAGAAAGTGACGAACAGAACTTCCAAGTGCCCTAAATTGATCTTCAACACCATTGGAGCTCGGTGGAAGCTTGCAGGAGTGCCGATTGATTACTAGAAGCAGATCCTCATCCTTCTCAGTGGCGATTGAAATTCCACATCTGAAGCAAATTTTCCTTCACTCTCTATGGAGTAAACTCCTTTTCTCACCTGGGTATGAAGAACCCTAGATTTTTATGTTAGGTCTGGTTGTATGAACCCAAGTACGAATTCTTTGATACTGATTATATTCAATTGAGGCATGGCTTTCTGAATTGCATGAATCCTGATCAAATTCCTGTTATTCCTGCTTTGACCTAGAATGAGAATATATGCCTAGGTTGAAAAAGAACCCTTGGTTGAAGGTAGTGAATTGACGACTTTACTCGAGGAGTCGATTCACTATTATGTACTGGATTTATTCAGTAGAGGAGGTTTGGTACGTTAGGGACTCAGTCTGTTTACTCCGGCGGAGGTTCGTAGCCCGTTGGAGACTCAGATTGAGAGGGTCTGGAGACCTTTAGTCGAGACTGCAGACTGTCTAAGAACCTACCGCAGTATAATTATCTTTGAATCTGAACTTGGCAAATTACAACTTGGCTTAACTGCAGTCTAGGGGGAACCATATCTGGGTGACCTCTCTCAAACTTGGACAACAACATTTACTGCTTTTGCTTGCTAGTTTAGTTGGAACTTCACTACAGGTTAACTGCTAAATAATAAGAATCTCATGGAGTAGTCATCACACCTAAGACCCGGTTTGACATTTAGAACTAAACACGCTATACTACGCATTAGCAGCTAGTTATACTTGGCCACTTTCTAGTGTGACGGTACAAGCTAGTCAAGTTTTTGGTGCCATTGCCGGGGACGACTAGGTTGTTGAAGAAACGTGATTTCTGTTACTTTAGCATTTCTTTTCCGCATTGATTGTTTTTCTTTGTCCCACTTGTGCCTTCACAGGTTTGCTTTCTTTGATTGTGTGCAGGTAGTGTATGACCCGTAGCCAGTCGAGAGACTTACTACCGTTAGACTAGGAGCTAGAACGCACTTGTCGCCATCTTAGGAGACAACAGCGAGCAAGACTGGCTACAGGCACGTCGACGGCCATCTGAGCAGCGACTATGAAGAGGAATACGATATGGACGACAAGCACAACTGGGGGAACCTGAACCTGGGGCAGAACCAACCCCTGGGAATGCCCATGCAGGTCCCCCCAGTGAATAAAGTCATGGCAAATAACCCAGTTCCCCAGCCAGATGGGGCTCAGCATCCACCACCCCCGTCGGGTCCTACTATGGAGTACTACTACACTCCACGGGTCGTCGACATCCACCCCATCATCCTGTATCTGCCCATTCCAGCAAATAACTTTGAGATCAAGCCATGCTGGATTCAACTGATCACATCCTCTATCCAGTTCCATGGTCTCAAGGATGAAGAGACGATGGTGAACCTTTCTTGGTTCTTGCAGCTTACCAATGGGTTCAAGTAGAATGGTGTACCAGATGATGCAATCCGTCTTCACCTCTTCCCCCACTCTCTAGCGGGGCATGTAAAGAGGTGGTTAGATACCCAACCCCCACTGTCCATCACGTCATGGGACGATCTGGCCGACATGTTTTTGCACAGGTACTACCCGGGCTCGAAGACCATGAAGATTCAAGGGGAGATCAATCATTTCCGTCAGGAGCCAGATGAGTCACTACGTGATGCCTAGGATCGGTACTCGGGATTTCTCTGGCAGTGTCCCCATCACGGTTTTAGTGATGCATTCACAATGGGGAACTTCTATAGTGCTCTAACTCTAGAGAGACAGAGGGTGATCCAGTCTTTATGCCCAAGAGGGTACATTCTCACCAAGACTCCACCCGAGCTGAAACAGATGATCAGTACTTTGGCTGCTAGAGATCACTCTTGGGGGCAGAGCACTAGGGGCAGAAACTTCCAGGATCGCGGTGTGCATTCTATGGAGGTTAGATCCGGATTTGAGTGGGAGGTGGCTGAACTGGTCCAGACATTAAAGCAGCCTAACAGTCTCATTCCGGGCAGAGGATTGGTTGGCCATTCAATTGCACAATGCCAGTGGTGTGAGAGCTCGAACCACTTGGTGGAAGACTGCCAGGCTATGCGAGAGTCTACTACACCCCAGGAGTAGTTGGACTTCATCGCCAATGCTCGACGCCTCGATCCTTACAGTGGAACATATAATGAGGGGTGGCGCCAACATCCCAACTTCTCCTAGAACAACAACACCATCAACACCATCAAGCCTCCCGGCTTCCTAGATAGAACAGGTGGTTTTCAGCAAAGGCAACCCTTCAAGGCAAGATAGGGCCCATTTCCACAGTAGTAGCCCTACAAGCCCAGGCTGGGGCAACCATTTCAGCAACAGCAGAGACAGTTTGCCCAGCCGGCAGCAGCTCCAGCATAGGATGATAAGATGTCAGAGCTGAAGAACATGGTGCAGACTTTCGTGAGTGCCAGCACGACGAATTTCGCCAGGCTGGACCAGTGCATCATCTCGTTGGAGGCAGGCCAGAGGAACCAGGGTGCCATACTTTTGGACCTCCAGAACTAGATTGGAGGCATAGCTCGCCAGCACACCACTAGAGCACCCGGAACTCTGCCTGTCACCACTATTCCAAATCCTCGCGAGCCTCACCAGCAGCTCGATGCCATCACTACTCAAAGTGGCAAGACAACATCTGCTATCCCTGCTCTGACCAGGCAGGAGAAGCCAACACCTACTTAAGCACTTCCAGCTGACAAAGAAGAGGTGAGGATTGAGAAAGAAGCACCTTCTCCCAAGCCACAACCAGTGGTTAAGGAGCATGTTCCCTAGCTTCCCTTCCCCACTCGACTGCGCAAGGATAATGTGGAGACTGAGTTTTCCAAATTCATGGCAATGTTGAGTAGGTCAACATTACCCTGACATTCATGGAGGCACTGTGGAAGATGCCCAAGTACGCCAAGTTCATGAAGGATCTTCTCACCAACAAAAAGAAACTTGGGGATCTCTCGACAGTGATGTTGAGCGAGGAGTGTTCTGCCATCCTGCTGAACAAGCTGCCCGAGAAGCGCAAAGACCTAGGGAGTTTTACTATCTCTCTTGTCATTGGCAGCATGCATGTAGGAAAGTCCTTGGCGGACCTAGGCGCTAGCATTAATGTCATGCCCTATAAATTGTTTAAGAAGCTAGGCCTAGGTGAACCTAGAACCACTAAGATGAGCATTCAACTCACTGATCGCTCTATTGTGCATCCTAGGGGTATCATAGAGGACTTGCTTGTTAATGTGGGTGCATTCACATATCCTGTTGATTTTGTTATTCTAGATATAAATGAGGATGTGGATGTGCCTTTGATTTTGGGTAGACCATTTCTCGCCCCGCCAAGGCGCTTATTGATGTGCATAGTGACAAGTTGATCTAGTGAGCTAGGGATGAACATGCTACATTTTCTGTGTCCGATAACGCAAAGCATTCCCATTTGCATGATGACTTGGATTACTGTTATATGCTGGCTGATTTTGACATGGCACTCGCCATCACGAGTGTGGGTATTGATGATGCCCTTGATCATTGTATTTTGCTAGGTGAGCAGGCATCCCAGGAGTTACAACTGGAGGAACCGCTAGCCGCTCTGGAGAGTGGCGAGTTTCTCGAGGGTGCCAAGCAGTTCAAGCTGATCTCATCCTCTCCTCGCATCACCACCTCTCTGGAGGAGCCACCAGAACTGGAGCAAAAGCCCCTCCCTCCTCACTTGGAGTATGCATTTCTCCGGAGGGGAACTATTAGCTCGACCCTCACACCCGAGCAGAAGGCCAGACTGGTGTCCTTGTTGAAGTAGTACGAGCAAGCTCTGGCATGTACACTAATATCTGGGGGATCAGCCCCTCCTTTTTTTTCCCACCAGATACTGCTAGAGAATGAGATGCGGCCAGTTAGGCAGCCCCAGCGGAGACCGAAACCGAACCTGGAGGCCGTGGTTCGGCCAGAGATCGCGAAGCTTATGGACGTGGGGATCATCTTCGCCATTTCTGACAGTGAGTGGGTTAGTCCCACCCAAGTGGTTCTGAAGAAGGACAGGTTGACCGTGGTACCCAATGAGAAGAACGAGCTCATCCTGATGCGCACGGTGACCGGGTACCGCGTCTGCATCGACTACCGTCGCCTCAACGACGCCACCCGGAAGGACCATTTCTCGTTGCCTTTCATTGATCAGATGCTGGAGAGGCTGGCGGGGCACGACGAAGACCACCTTCACTTGTCCTTTCGGCACATTTGCCTACCGGAGGATCCCATTGGAGCTATGCAATGCCCCAACCGCATTTGAGCGCTGCATGCTAGCCATCTTCGACCGACTGGTCGGAGAAATCATGGAGGTATTTATGGAAAACTTTTCGGTTTATGGGGACTCATCCTCTCACTGTCTCCACAACCTGGAACTCGTCCTGAAACGGTGTGAGGAGACGAACCTGGCCTGAATTGGAAGAAGTGCCACTTCATGGTTCGTGAAGGCATAGTTCTGGGGCATAAGATCTCCAAGATGGGGTCGAGGTAGACAGAGCCAAGATCGAGACAATCAGCAAGCTACCTCCTCCCACATCTGTTAAGGGGATTCGTAGTTTCTTGGGCAATGCAAGGTTCTATAGGCAGCTCATAAAAGACTTCTCCAAAATCGCCTTACCCCTGAGAAGCTCCTTGAGAAGGATGCCCTCTTCCAGTTCACTGATGCGTGCACAACGGCTTTCACGACCTTGAAGGAGAATCTCACTCATGCTCCTATGATGGTCACTCCTGACTGGTCTTTACCGTTCGAGCTGATGTGCGACGCCAGTGACTTTGTTGTTGGAGATGTTCTGGGGCAGAGGCGAGATCAGCACTTTCGTCCTATCTACTACACCTCGAAGACCCTTAACGATGCCCAGGAGAACTACACCACCAGAGAGAAGGAGCTGCTAGCGGTGGTGTTTGCATTTGATAAGTTTCGTCCTTATCTGGTCTTGTCCCATGTGACAGTCTACACGGATCACTCCGCAAATACAATACTTGATGAGCAAGGTCGATGACAAGCCTCGGCTCATACGATGGATCTTATTACTGTAGGAGTTTGACATCGAGATCCGGGACAAGAAGGGCGCCAAAAATGTTGTTGCTGATCATCTCTCCTGATTGGACGCACCTCTTGCGGACAACCCCGTGGAGGAGATCAATGACTCCTTCCCAGATGAGCGACTGATGATGATGTGCTTGGTGGAGAGCGTCACCCCTTGGTACTCCGATTTTGCAAATTATCTGGTGGGTTAGCAGTTGCCCAAGGGGATGACAATTCATGCCAAGAGAAAGTTCTTCTCGGACCTGAAGCACTACTTCTGGGATGACCTGCATCTCTTCAGGATTGGAGCTGACGGGGTCATCCGTCGTTGTGTCATGGAAAATGAGATGGAGAGCATTTTGTCTCATTGCCACGAGGGACCTACTGGAGGGCACCATGGTGGTAACTGCACGGCGCGGAAGGTGCTACAGTCGGGCTTCTACTGGCCCTCGCTCATCAAGGACGCCAACACCTTCACACGCAGGTAGGGATGGAAATGGGTCAGGTTGGGTTGGGTTTTGCCAAATCCAAACCCAAACCCATGGGTTTATTCGTGAAAAAAACCAAGGATAAAACCCACTGGGTTTGAAAAACTCAAACCCAACTCAACCCGCTGGGTATCCGCGGGTTCCTCGGTACCCACGGGTTTTTGTCGTAAAAAATTACAATAACAAGTTCCTATCAAAATTAATGTCAAATATCAATCTATCAATACAAATTATCCATATATAAAACACCATTCTAGAAAATTCAAGCAAATCACAAATTAACTATACAAATTGTTCAACACCAATCTAGAAAACTCAAGAAAATTGAAGCAAATCACAAATTATCCATAAATAACATGATTAATTGAAAGCTTCTTCCTCCCTGTCAATTAAGTTTCTTCACTCTCACTCGATAACATCAACTTCATTCTACACAATTAGAAAGAAAAAATTAGATATGTCTCCACAAACATAAATAAAATTAGTTGTTTAGAATATTAAATATAACGAGAAAATTAATTATATGGGTGTGGGCGGGTACCCATGGGGCGAGTTTACCTAAACCCAAACCCAACCCAACCCGATAAATAGTGAATAGGTTTAAACCCAAACTCGGCCAAAAACCCGTCAACACGGGTTTTACCCGTGTTAACCTGGTTGGATCGGGTGGGTACTCGTGGGTTCGGGTTTTGTTGCCATCCCTACACGCAGGTGAGATCGATGCTAGAGGTTAGGTAACATCTCTGCCCATGATGAGATGCCCCAGAATGTGTTTATAATATGTGAGATTTTTGACGTCTGGGGTATCGACTTCATGGGCCCCTTCCTTCCATCATTTTGCAATACATACATCTTAGTTGCTGTTGATTACGTCTCTAGGTGGGCTGATGCACAGGCTTTGCCCACCAATGATGCTAGACACGTTTGTCAGTTTCTAAAGCAGCTGTTCTCCCAGTTCGGGACACCTAGGGCCATCATTAGCGACAGAGGGACCCGCTTCCAGGGCCAGTTTGATAAATTACTATCCCGCTATGGTGTCACCCACAAGGTGTCCGTGGCCTACCACCCCCAAATGAGTGGCAGGCCGAGCTGACGAATCGGGAGCTCAAGCGCATACTGGAGAAAACGGTGGATCAATCTCGCAAGGATTGGTCCACCGAGCTCGATGATGCTCTAAGGGCATACCAGACTGCCTACAAGACGCCAATTGGTACTTCGCCGTATTGGCTTGTCTATGGAAAGGCATGTTACTTGCCCGTGGAGCTAGAGCACAAGGCTTTCTGGGCCTTAAGCTGCTTAACTTGGATGTTAGTCTTGCAAGTGATGAACGCAAATTGCAGATGCTGGAGCTGGAGGAATGGCGTTACCACGCCTACGAAAACACCAAGTTGTACAAGGAGCGCACTAAGCGTCTTCACGACGCTCGATTGAGGGTTCGAAATAGATGCAGGTTGGCGATCGAGTTCTTCTCTATAACTCTCGCCTGAAACTCTTTCTTGGAAAACTTCGCTCCCGGTGGTGTGGACCGTTCACGGTCACACAGGTGTTCCCATATGGCACGATCGAGTTTGCCAACCCGCAGACTGAGCCATTTAAAGTGAATGGCCATCGTCTCAAGCTCTATCTGGGAGACGAGGTCGAACGTGCGGGGTCGGTAATTGAACTCGCAGACCCTTAGTTTCGCCATGAACGTCCAGTTAAAATACGGTAAAGACTTGTTCCTGGATTGCCTCAATTATGTACGACGGTGAGACTACGGTTGTCAAGGTATGACTTTGCAAGGCTTATGTTACTTGAAATTTCTACACATATCGTTCACTAAATTCATGAGCTCAGCTTCCAAATTGTTTCCCCATCTACCGTCATCAAACCCAAAAAGCTACCCACCATTCTCATTTGTCCAATTCCATGAAATTATATAATAAACATGGGTGGGGTTGATTTTCTTACCTCCATCCAATTTTCATTGTCACTGATGTTCCGCAAAAAAACCCATTTCCACTCTAATTTTGAACCCATGCCCTGGGTCTTCGTAATTCCACATAAACGATTTGTCCCCATGATTGACCGATAAAAAAGGGCTTGCTATTTGCCGCCAACCAAATTGCTATTTGCCGCCAACCAAAAAAAAGTATATATATACATCTTTGGTTAAGGAGTTTCACAATCTACAACATATCCAACTTTCAGAGAACGTATTGAATCAGAAAAATTCAACGCTCGCCGGAAAAGTCGCCGGAAAATCATCGATGAAAAAAAAAGTATATATATACATCTTTGGTTAAGGAGTTTCACAATCTACAACATATCCAACTTTCAGAGAACGTATTGAATCAGAAAAATTCAACGCTCGCCGGAAAAGTCGCCGGAAAATCATCGGGAAAGCCTATCCTCGACATATACTGCGTACACGCATCCATGAATCATCACTAAGCAGTGCGTAATTTTTTTGTAGTTTCGAACAATTTTTCCAACGATTTGAAACGAACAGACGGTGGGCCGAAAAATTTCGGCGGTTGCCTACGTGCGAGGTGAGTGGTTGCCTCATCAGACAATGTGGGCAAAGTGCTACATGAACCATGTGTTTCAAACCCTAAACCCTAAACCCTGAACCCTAAACCCTTGGTGATCGGCAGCGAGTCAGGCAGAGAGACCCCCGAAGAGCTAGGGAAAGGGGTAGGGGTAGGAGCAATGCATAGTGTTGCAATGCTCTATTTATAGGTTGTTGTTTTTCTAGTTGTATTTTTAATGACCCTAGTGTCATTATGAACTTATGGATTTCATTATGGATTTCAAGCGAGTTCGGGGTCGATTGGACGAAGATCGGGCGCGAGGCAAGTCAAAAAGAAAGCCACACGGGGACACACACAACTCACACGGCCGTGTGAAGTTGCACTTTGGCTATGTGGAATTCTGCGAGGCTTCACACGGCCAGTCTGGGTGAGCTACACGGCTGTGTGAAGTTGCACTTTGGCCGTGTGGAATTCTGCGAGGCTTCACACTGCCAGGCTGGGTGAGCTACATGGCCGTGTGGGAAACCTGAAACCCAATTACTCGGGCCGAAAAACTTTTGCGGCCGGTGCGCCGCCGGGCCGAAAAATATTTGCGGCCGGTGCGACGCCCGGCCAAAAAATTCTTTCGGCCCGACGTCGCTCCGGCCGCAAATTTTTTTCGGCCTGCCGACGAACACGCCGCCGGAAAATTTTTGGCCGGCGTGTTTTGCGACCGGCCGAAAAAAATTTGCGGCCTAGGCGTCGCCGGGCCGAAAGAATTTTTCGGCCGGTCGTCGCCCCGGCCGCAAATTTTTTTCGGCTCGGCGGCGTTCGGGCCGCAATTTTTTTTCGGCCCCCCGTGTTTTTCGCCGGAAAACTGGAAAACTGGCCAGAAAAAGTAAACTTACTTGTTTTCCGACGATTGAGGGAGACGGGAGGTTAGCCGACGACGGAAGAACGGTGCCGGCGACCGAGACACTGGGAAGGAAGGGAAAATTCAAAATTTGAATTCATTTTTTTTTTCTTTTTTTCGTTGGCGGCAAATAGCAATTTGGGTGGCGGCCAACCAAATTGCTATTTGCCGCCAACCAAAAGAAAAAAAAGAGTATATATATACATCTTTGGTTAAGGAGTTTCACAATCTACAACATATCCAACTTTCAGAGAACGTATTGAATCAGAAAAATTCAACGCTCGCCGGAAAAGTCGCCGGAAAATCATCGATGAAAAAAAAAAGTATATATATACATCTTTGGTTAAGGAGTTTCACAATCTACAACATATCCAACTTTCAGAGAACGTATTGAATCAGAAAAATTCAACGCTCGCCGGAAAATCATCGGGAAAGCCTATCCTCGACATATACTGCTTACACGCATCCATGAATCATCACTAAGCAGGTGCGTAATTTTTTTTGTAGTTTCGAACAATTTTTCCGACGATTGAAACAAACAGACGGTGGGCCGAAAAATTCCGGCGGCCGGAACCTGGCCGGGCCGAAAAATTCCGGCGGTTGCCTACGTGCGAGGTGAGTGGTTGCCTCATCAGACAATGTGGGCAAAGTGCTACACGAACCATGTGTTTCAAACCCTAAACCCTGAACCCTAAACCCTTGGTGGTCGGCATCGAGCCAGGCAGAGAGACCCCCGAAGAGCTAGGGGAAGGGGTAGGGGTAGGAGCAATGCATAGTGTTGCAATGCTCTATTTATATGTTGTTGTTTTTCTAGTTGTATTTTTAATAACCCTAGTGTCATTATGAACTTATGGATTTCATTATGGATTTCGAGCGAGTTCGGGGTCGATTGGACGAAGATCGGGCGCGAGGCAAATCAAAAAGAAAGCCACACGGGCACACACAACCCTCACACGGCCGTGTGAAGTTGCACTTTGGCCGTGTGGAATTCTGCGAGGCTTCACACGGCCAGGCTGTGTGAGCTACACGGCCAGGGTGGGTGAGCTACACGGCCATGTGAAGTTGCACTTTGGCCGTGTGGAATTCTGCGAGGTTTCATACTGCAGCCTGAGTGAGCTACACGGCCGTGTGCCCCTGGTCGTGTGGGAAGCCTGAAACCCAATTACTCGGGCCGAAAAACTTTTGCGGTTGGTGCGCCGCCGGGCCGAAAAATATTTGCGGCCGGTGCGACTCCCACGAACAGCCTTTTAGGAGTAAAGGAGTCCACTACTATAAAGACTCCTACTTAATACTTAATAGCTTAACGCCTAACGGGACACTATAATGGATTAATGGATCCAATTATTTGGCTTAATATGCCTCTATAATAGGTCTTGATTAAATGGCTTACTCATGTGGTGGTAATCATTAACTGGATAAGTGCTAGACCCAATTGTCACTCATTGGGTTTGGTTTGAGGTCTCGTATCTAACTATTGAATCAAGCCATATATTTAGTTCAGGTTGAACCTTAATATAAAAGTCGGGATGTTACATTTTGTTCATGTTAGGCGGTACTCATGAGTAGCCCAATAGAGCTTATAGTGGTACATTCATGTGTAGTGTTTATGATCTGAATTGCATCATTCTGGGTTGTCTTTGACGATGTAGTGGGTCATACTTACTATGAAGTAATCGTTGCAAGTATTTATTCGTATTCTCCTTTTGCATTATTTGGATGTTTGATGCTGAGGTGTACGTGTTCTTACTAATTGAGTTCTTCTGTATCACAGATGGGAAATTATTACAAGTAGGTAGGTGTCTGAAAAGAGGTTCAGAGAAGCCCATGTATGTTGGAGTTGTCCTTTAACACGTCAGTATGCAAAACTCTCAAAGTGATTATAGAGGGAAAACCATTGTATTCCATTTTACTGTTTTGATTTTAATTTGCATGAGTAAATATAGATGGGCAGTGGTGACTTCGGATGCACTCACTGTTTAGTTTGTTGGTGCTAGACAAAAGTGCTACACTTCCCTTTAAATAATTCGGATAGACTAATTTCTTTGCAACAAGAATCCTTCTGCCACGCGTGTTCACAGAATTGTAATTGTCATTACTCTTTTGGTAGCCATTGACGCATGCAACATGCTCTATTTTAAATAGTTTATTGGGGAGCGGTTACTGTGAGTACTACAAAAGTAGTAATTACCGTGGCTACTAAAGGTACGAACGATATTATTGTGCTTATTGTTTTGGTATTGATGCTAAATTTTATTAGTAGTGTTTACATTGGGTAGAAATGGTATTTTGGTGCTTACTGTTTTGGTAGTGATGCTAAATTTTATTGGTAGTATTTACATTGGATAGGAATGGTATTCTGGTGCTTATGGAGATAGAGAGAGCAGCTGGAGGGTACACGCAGCGGTGGTCGGGGGTAAACGGAGGGGAGGGAGGCCGCTGCAGTGACCGAGGGTGGCCAGCACGGAGTCATCGTCGGGGATGGTGTAGGCGGGCGGCGGGATTAGTGCGACGGAAGTGGTGGAGGTGCCTGCGGTAGGTTTGGCTGGAGGGAGAGTAGAACTAGGGTTTGGGTAGATTATATAGAATAATCGTGTGTCGTTACTTTTTCATTTCTAAAATTATCCTAAAAGAATCTTAACCGTAAGATTAAAAAAGAAGGGAAAGTAGTTAATCAAATGGTATATAAAGAGGTTGCCACTGTGATTACTAAGAGCATCTCCATTGGAATTGCAATTAGAATTGCATTATGACATGTCAATCATTATGATCATTCATTTGCAATTGCATTGATGTAGATGACAATTGCATCTTTGCAAGCTTGCATATAATGCAATTATAGAATGCAAGCCACATCATCTTTTTTATTATTAAATTATTCATTAATTTTATTATTTGAGTGTTTATGTTCTAATAAATTAAATCAAAAAAATTAGTTGCAATTGCAAGTTAATTGCATTAATGTGGTACAATGCAACTAAGATGAGTTGGACTGCAAAAAAAAATAAGTAACAATAAAAAAAAACATGCAATTGCAAATACCATTACACCAATGAAAATACTCTAAAAAACAAGTAATCACCATAATCCATTCCTAGTTTATTGTTATGCAGACTTTGTAGAGGAAGTGAGGTAATGCTCTATTTCTGTCTAAATTTGCTGCAAATTCATCTTAGAACAAAAGCTGTTGGATAGGATTGTCTATTTTCTCTTGCTGGAGTGAGTAACTAATTACGTTGATTATATAAATAGACTATTCTAAGGGAAGAAGATAGTATAGTTTGTTGACTGTGATTAGTTTCGTTTCCCGCAATTGGCCATAGGTGATTATGTAGCTGCGTGATAGAATAAAAAGAAGGCGAAGAGCAGTAAAGAGAATTAACTTCAATAAAATAATTATTGATGGCCTTTTAGTTTTTCATTCTTTGTACTTCCAGAGACCAACAATGTCTCAATTCTTTGGTACCACATTCCCCAAGTTCTTGGGTTGGTTAGTTTGCTTTTTTCCGGTCTTTGTGTGGTTCTGAATTTTACAGGGTAGAAGCAGCAGAGGAGAGGAAGGCATTTAAGAGGAAAGACTGAAATGTCAGTGTGCTCTCATGAAATTGAACCAATGAGGCTAGACTTTAATCTAATCAACCTGACATCTGAGCATCTCAGGTGATGGTATAGTTTTTTATTATATGATGTACTCATTCTGGAATGTAAACTATTTGGATTTAGCATTTGCTGATTTTTGTTAGGGTTTGTGCATTTCTTATAGAAATTGCAGTAGTAGATACATAAACCCCACAAATCCTAGAAGTGCCTGGTTCGTGGTTTGGTCTCTACCTACCATTTCGTAATCATCATTTCTGTTGCTTCTTTACCTTGGTCATCACTGTGTTGTACAGTCCAGATCAGTAATGCATTGCATATTTAATCTCACTGTGGTTGCAATTTGACATCCGTCTTATAAATGTGAATAATATAATTTTTATTGGATGCAAAGCTTATGCTTAAGTTCATGCCTGTCTGGCTGTACAAATTGTCATGCACCCTACAACTTCATTAACCATTGAGAGCATTAAACATTCACAGTTCGATCACTTTCATGCTAAGTTTTCTAAATCGAGCGTTGGACCTTTCCAATTTATCTTACGTTATGTTATGTTTTTTCATTTTACCTTGTGATCGATTTATGCATCTTCTTTTATTACCTTTAACTGCATCCCTCTGAATGCATTGAACTTTCCCAGTGTACTTGCAGTTGCTTCTTTCTCCATTCCCAACACACCTTTTATACCTTCATACCCCCATCTCAATCTTTTCTCATCCTTTTCCAATTCCTTTCTCCGTTTCGCCAACCATTTTTCCTTCTCATCTTCTTCAAATGGATACTTGTGTTGCTGTATTTTTCAAAATTTACATTCTCTGTTCACATATCAGCCTGCAACTCACCATTTGAGAATGGTATATACAAGGGCAAGAAGTTGCTTAGAGTTTGTGCAACTTCTTATATTTTGATTCTAAGAGTTTGTGATTTTTCCCTTATGCTAATTTTACAGCCTTCAAGTTGAGGCGTTTGTTGATGTCTGCTAAATACATATTTGGTCACCTTTCTAGGTTTGTATGATGAAACTACTCAATTATCAATTATCTGTGTGGTTGGTCTTATTTTCCTACTTATTCTGATGAGATTGGTTTGCTTTTCATTTAAGACTAGGTTGGTATTATGTATCACGTTATGTTGGTAATATTAGTTAGTATATTAAAATAACATGTTAAAAAATACTCTTCATTAGAGTCACATCACCAAAGTAATTGTTTTGTAATTTTACACTGTCAAAAATGTAATTTAAGTGCTTTATTATTTGGTTTTGTTTATCTTACATCCTTTCACTCTTCTTTTAAGTGCCTTATTTTTTGGTATCTTCGTAATTTTACCCAACTTTTTTTTTTTTTTGGAACTTCAGACCCACTTGCTTTTTCCTTTCCCTATCCTATCTAACCCACCCACCCATCCCCATCTCCATCTCCATCTCCATCTCTCTAGATGAAAGAAGACTAAGGAAGAACATGGAGAAGAAAAGGAAGAGGTAGAATGCCATTTGTTAATTGATCTTGCTCTCTCCAGCTGCCTAAGCCTTTCCTCGGAATTTCATTATGTTATCTGAAGAAAAACCCAGAAACGCTTGTTTTCACCAACCTCAAAATAATGCCAGCAGCGAGCTTGCTTATGGGAGAAGGATGATCTGCCAACTGCTCGGTTAGATGGTGAGTTCCTATCTCTGTTCGTTCTTTGATTCCTTTTAGTGTTTTGGATTATGTGCAAACGTTTATTTTCTTGGTTAGGTTGTGACTTTCTGCCTTTTTTGTATTCCGCCTTTGTTTCTTTTTAGGGTTTTAGCTTATCCTTAACCGTTGTTTTCTTAATAGTTCCATCGATGGTGATACCATATCGGCGATGGAGTTTTATGTGCAAGAATGAAGAAGTTTCATAAGTGAGAAGGATTATCTATAGATAAATTTGTTGGATGGTGATTCTGTGCTCAAATTCTTTTGCTCATCCTTAGACAAGCACCTTCTTACTTTAGGTTTTGATGTTGAACAACCCTTCATATACCTTTGTCAATGGTTTTAGTGTCATTTCTTATTGTTCTTTGTTGAGTTCTAATGGTTTCTAGAATTTAAAGTATTGGTTCTATCTTTTTCATTGTTATCAGCGTCAATTAAGTAGAGGTCATGTAATTTAATGGTGTTTGGGAAACAGGGATGCAGCATCAAATGGGTTCTTATATGCTCTCTGTGATGGAAGCTCTTCCTATGTTTTCGTGGATGTGTTGTCCTTTGCGGATTTCCAATTCGGGTGAGGAGAAATCCAAACAAACTAGGTCATGTTTTTTCCTTTTCCATTTGGATTTTTACTTGATGGAAACTCTTCCTCATTTAGCCGTTGATTTGTTGTCCGCTGCATAATTTTCCTTAAGGTTCCATGGCAGTGATGAGTCCTTTAAAAAACTCCTTGGATTTTACATCCAAAGAAGTCACCCCAATCTCTCTTAATTCCCATCCTCTTTGAGTTCTTATTTCCTAATTCTGCAATTCATTACACCGCATTGACTTAACTGCAATTTTGATTGGGTTATAAACATACAATTCGCCCTAAAAGAACACTTCTATTACAATTTACAAGCAATGCAAAGCGCCAGCCCGAAGCGCGGGCTTCCGTTCTTGTTTAAAATAAAAGGATCAAAGAATTTGCAGAGTGTTCAGAGCACTTAATGACCAAATCTCTAAACCAAGCTCATTACCTTCATCTTAAGCATCCATCATTTGTCACAGGAATTGTTGGATAAGTTACTAGGATTTTTAAAGATGTATGAGACCCTTATCTAAACTGGTCATTTTAAATAGGGTTATAGGTATAATATGCCCTTCGACTATGACGTTTATTAAACATGCCCTTCTACTATTTTTTACATAAAAAATGCCCCTATACTTTGAAAAATTATCAAACATGCCCTTCTGTTAAAATTTTCATTGAAAAAATCGTCAATCGTGGTTGAACCGAGATTTAGATGACCCGACATCAGTTTTGTCCCCTATTTTATTTCCCTGGGTCTTTTCAAAGTGAATTTATTTGAATGATTTGATTATACAAAAGAACGAAAAAAAATTCTAATGTTGAATTTATTATGGATATTTTAGTCATTTGTGTCGCCCAAACTAAAGTTCGGCCTTGGTTAACGGTTTTTGGATGAAAATTTTAACAAAAGGGCATGTTTGATCATAAGGAGCAGCCCCACTACCACATTCACATAGGTGAGTCTATCAGGAGTACCCCCAAAGTAAAGTACTCCACCCCACATAGGATATAGATCTCATTAAGAGTTAATAACTAAACCTCCATTGCTTTGGGATTCATGCTTCACTATGCATGAACTTTTCGCATACTGCTCATGAATTGTTATTACCCATTGAACCCATTTCTTGGGATCTCCAGTCTATTGAGTCGGGTTACCATCATTTGTAGTCCGTGGTTCGGTAGGCATAAGTACCATACCCTTGGCGGTATTCTGGACTTTCTCTCTAGGTAATCCTTTCATCAAAGGATCAGCTAGATTTTGTTCGGATCTTATATGATCCACCTCACTGCTCCTATTGTTAGGAGTTCTCTTACAGTACTGTGCTTACGATGAATCTGTTGTTTCTTTCCGTTATAGAACCGGTTCTCAACTTTAGCGATAGCTGCGGTACTATCACAATGGATCAATACCGGAGGGACCAGCTTTTCCCATAGGGGAATCTCTAACAACAATCCTCTCAACCAACTTGCTTCTTTACCAGCCGTTGCTAGTGTTATCATCTCTGACTCCATAGTTGATTGAGCTAGGATTGTTTTTTTCTTTGACTTCCAAGATACAACTCCAGCAGCAATGTTAAAAACATACCTGCTGGTTTCCTTGGAGTCATCTGATAGGGTATTCTAATCCGCATCACTATACCCTTCTAGTATAGCAGGAAACCTTTGATAGTGTATACCAAGGTTTGCTGTTCTCTTGAGGTATCTCATGACCCTCTATAGCATTCCAATGTTCTCTACTAGGACACCTGTTAAACCTGCCAAGCAATCCCACGACATATGCAATGTCTGGTCGAGTGTAATTCACAACATAACGGAGACTACAAATGATGCTAGCATATTTTGATTGTCTTACACCGTCTCTAGTGTTCTTAAATAGCTTTACACTAACATCATACGGAGTACACGCAGGTTTACAGTCGAAATAATTATATGTCTTCAAGATCTTCTCTATGTAGCTAGATTGATCTAGAGAATAACCATTTGCTATTTTAGTTATCTGGATTCCAAGCATAAACTTTGCTTCTCCCATATCTTTCACCTCAAAGCTCTCTTTCAACATGGCTTTTGCTTCATTGACCACGTGAATATTTGTACCAAATATTAACATGTCATCTACATACAAACATATGATAGTACAAGTGTTATTCTCTAACTTGCAGTAAATACACTTGTCACTTTCATTCACCTTAAAACCATGTGAGAGAACGAGAGAATCAAACTTCTCATGCCACTGTTTTGGAGCCTGTTTCAAACCATATAATGATTTGTCTAACTTACAGACTTTCGAGGCATGTTCGGGGATAACAAACCCTTCTGGTTGTTCCATATAGATTTCTTCATCCAGATCACCATTCAAAAAAGAAGTCTTAACATCCATTTGGTGTACCACGAGATTGTTCAAGGCAGCAAGAGCAATCATGACACGAATGGATGTTATTCTAGATACTGGTGAATAGGTATCGAAGAAATCTATTTTCTCTCTCTTCTTGTAGCCCTTAACTACTAGGCAAGCTCGGAACCTTTCGATTGTACCATCAGGTTTCCGTTTCGTTTTTAGAACCCATTTATTACCTAAGACTTTGCAGCCAGGAAGTAAGTCTGTTAGATGCCAAGTCTTATTAGCTTCTAAAGATTCCATTTCATCTATAACGGCCTCATTCCAAAAGTCTGCATCTATGGAAGTTAATGCTTCCTGCAAACTTTTTGGATCTTCGAGGGTGTATACTGTAGTAAAGTCATCAGCAAAATCTTTAGAGATTCTAGCTCTTTTACTTTTTCTGAGTTCATCCTCAGATCCAACACCCGCACTAGTTCCGTTATCTCTAATAGCGGGTAGTACATTACCTCCACTATTTCTCGTTTTAAATGGAAATCGTGTCTCAAAGAAATCAGCATCAATGGATTCTAGTATAGTACAAGCATTCAAATCATAGAATCTATATGCCTTACTATTGGCCGCAGAGCCAACGAAGACACATTCATATGTTCGACTAGCCAACTAAATCCTCTTAGGATCCAGAATTCTTACGTAGGCCAAACAGCCCCACGTTCTTAAATAGGACAGATTAGGTGGCTATTCTTCACGATCTCATAGGGTGATTCTTTTCTATTTGTTTTTGGAAGACGATTTAGCACATAGCAAACCGTCAACAAAATATCGCCCCAACAAGAAGAAGCATCTCCCAAATTGAGCATAATAGCCAAAACTAATTCTGTAAACGTCCTATTTTTTCGCTCAGCTTTACCATTCATTTCTGGTGAATATGGTTCCGTGGTTTCATGAATGATACCATGTGAGCTATAGAATTCCTTGAAGGGATTAGAGTCATACTCTGATCCTCTATCACTCCTAAGTCTTTTTATCTTTCGATTGCACTAATTTTCAAAATTCAACCACAAATCCTTGAACATATCAAGGGCTTCACTTTTGTTTTTCATCAAATAAACAAAGTAATAATCAGAGCAATCATCTATGAAAGTGATAAAGTATCTATTGCCAGACCTAGTTAACGTACCATCTAGTTCGCAAATATCAGAATGAATTGGATCTAAAGGTTCTGATTCTCTACACACATATTTATAGGGCGTTTTCGTTATTTTAGATTGGCTACAGAAATCACATTTATCAAATTCATTCATTGAGAGTTTAGGGATATGTCCTAGCTTGCTTAAATTCTTCACAATTTATGTGTTCACGTGACAAAGACGAGCATGCCAAACATTCAAATCACACACCATGTAAACTGAAGAATTCATCTTATTAATTTCGACATTCAACTTGAACATCCCATTACATGCATATCCCTTTCCCACAAAACTCTCATTCTTAGTAAGGATATAGAAGTCTACCCCAATAGATTGATTAAACCCAGCCTTATTAAGAAGATATCCCGAACAAGATTCTTCCTTATCGTTGGAGTGTGCAACACATCCTTGAGCACCATCTTCTTCCCAGAGGTGATGTTCAGCTCCACTTCCACAGAACCAGCAACCATAGTAGGGTGAGTAGTTCCCAGCAGCACTTTCTTGTCAGCAGGTGCTTCTGTGTATGTTTTAAACATAGCACGATTGTTGCATACATGCTTCGATGCACCTGTATCCAGCCACCATCCTTCTGAGTCACCGGTGAGGTTGACTTCAACGATCATATCTGTGATTATGGCTATCAAATTCTCTTGTGTCAAGTTAATCCTGGCCGCAACAGCAGGGTCTTGCTTGTTCCTGCACTTGTTTGCCATATGACCCAGTTTACCGCAGTTATAGCAGATAAACGATGGGTCATTCTTAGAGGTTTGGGCCATGACCCTTTGGTTACCTCAAGAGGCACCATTCTGGTGGGGGCGGACGTGATGGTTCTTACTATTAAACCTTTTCTGGTTAGGTTTAAGAGCTCTAGGGGTGGGTCGTTTAGCAGTGACGACCATCACCTCTTCTTTCATATCCTGCTTGCGGGACTCTTCCTCAATCCTTAGGCAAGTAATCAAGCTTTCCATTGAAAACTCTTTGGTTTTATGTCTAAGGATATTCTTAAAATCTTTCCAAGAAGGGGGCAACTTATCAATAATGCAAGCAACTTGAAATTGATCGTCCAGAGGCATACCTTCAGAGACGATCTCATGAACTATTTTCTGAATTTCGTGGGACTGAACTTCTACACACTTGTCATCCACCATCTAGTAGCGCAGGTAGCGGCTGACGGCATACTTCTTAGCTCGAGCCTCCTCCGTGTCGTACTTCTTTTGGAGCGCATCCCAGATCATCATTGCGGTGTTCTTGTTGTCAACATAGGAATATACCCACCTGCTTGGGGAATAAGTCAGATTTAATTAAGGAAGATAATTACTTCCTTAATTAGAACCCGTCTGTAAGATAATTTCTGGCTGGAATATCCTTCGAATATTCCTTCGAATAACCGATTAATAATGAATTATCTAATAATTAATTTCGTTCGGAATTTCTCCAAAAATTATATATTGTCTCAACTGACCGACCGGACGGACGGCGCGCGTGCGTGTGTGGTGGTCCGTTAGGTCCTCCCTCTCCCACAAAAGTGGGTCACCCTAAGGGGCATGCCCTTAGTAGAGGCTCCTATCTTTATACACATTTCACCAAGTAAAACTACAAATGTGGTAGTTTTTCCACTTGAAACTCTATAACTTTCAAGGC